AAACTTAAAAAGTAAAAAACACACACAAAAAAACAACCACAACAAAAAAACGTATAATGAGACAGCTGGACGAGACCTCCCTGAGTGAAATACAACCTCCTTGTTTTATAAAGAAGAGCATGGAGCCAGGGGAGGGGAAGTGACTTTCTCAAGTTGATATAGACATAAAGGGCAAGACCTGTCCTCCTGGCCCCCAGCCAGGTGGGGCTCCTGCATCTTCACTAAAGTGTTTTCTTTAGTAAATACCCACCTGCTGATAGACTATTGCCATGAGAAGTGTTCTTTAAAAATCATCTCAAAAAGTACCCAGCACAGGTCCTACTCACTGAAGAGTTTCACAAGTGCTTTAAATTCTACAGAGCTCTAGGATTCTTTGAGGATTGAGGTGCCTTGAGTCACCAGCCACACTTTATTTTCATCAGCAGGCTGGATTAAGGTGTTGACCTTTGAGGATCTTTGCCTTTAACTCTTTCTCTTAAGTTTTGAATCTCACTCTTTTGAATGAAAGAGGCTTCCTGGAAGCAGCATGGCCAAATGGGAAAACCAACTTGGGCTAATTCACCCTGATTCTAGTCTGGGCCTTGCGGAATACCAGTTAGGTGACCTTGAATGAATAGCTTACCTTCTCTGGACTTCAGTGCTCCCACTTAAAAAATGGAATCCAGCTGTGTGCCTGGATGGTTGTAAGAACTATATCATAGGAGATTGGAAAATTCTTGGGAAAGCATGAAATGCTCATTCAACAACTACTTCTTCAATGTCTACGATAGTCCAGACTCCTTCTCAGGCCTAAGAATACAAACATAAATAAGATATCATCCTTACCCTTAAAGACTTCATGATCCAGTGGGGAAGACAGACTCAATTAATTACTATATCTTTTGCTGTAACCAATCTGATGGAGGTAGGAAGGGGAGCAATGGATGCTATGGGAACAAAGGAAAACTACCTATCCCACATTTGCAGAGAGTAAGTCAGCAAGCTTTCCTGGAGGAGGTGACATTTAGGTTCAGACAATTTCAATAATACCAGAGTCCCCACCACTGCCACTGTCATCACTGGCTACAATTTATTTAATATTCAGTCTGTTCTGAGGATTCTGCTGGACCATTATTAGTTCATGTTCACAATTCAGGAAGTCAAGGTTGTTTTCCTCATTACACATACGATAAAACAGAAGCAAAAGAGGCTTCGAAAAAAGGAATGTTAAAAAGATCACATAGCTAGTAAGGAGTACAACCAAAGCTTAAACCCAACTGTGACTTCCAAATCTTCTGGTCTTCACAACACTGCCTTACAGGTCTGTGTGACTCTCAGAGGCAAGGCTGAGACTAGTGGAGGAAGTCACTGGGAGACAAATTTCAGCTAAAGAGAAGAAAGACTTTTCTAGCAGAGCTGTCCCAGAATGAGATAAGCTGCCTGGGGAGGTGGTGAGTACCAGGTCATAGAAATATCATGGAGCAAGCTGGTGACTTGGCTAAAACATTGCTTAGGGCATTCTTATCTGGAGGCAGAGGAGAGGTAAGTAAGCTAACCTTCTCTAAGGAACAGTCGTTTGTGATTAAGTCCTATTAACAACAATGTTCCATTCCAAGTTTTTAGATGCTCAGTGGAAGCTGGAAGAACTCTGGGAGCATAACACCCAGACCCATGGTTCCATCTTCTTGGTGACCAGCCACTGGGAAGTGAACAATATAGGGGCCTGCTGGAGTTTTCTATAAATTAGGCTACAGAGTTATATGGTTAAGGATGCTTTCCGTTAAAGAAACAAGGACTAATTCCAGCCACTTAAGCAAAAAGGGAATTTATAGGAAAGATCACATTTGGAAAACAAACAATTAATAGACTGGCTTTGGGAGGCAGAAAATTGGCTCTTGGCCCAAGTAGTCTACTTCTGTACCATGGTGGCCCTGCTGTACACCTGACTTCCTGGGGGAAGTGGCTGTTGCCCGAGTCTGGTTTCCTGTTGCTGCCCTGGCTGGCAAATCACAAAGAGAGAGCATGTGGCTCATCTGGTCTTCTGTGGGAGGAAAAAAGGCACCACCATAGTCTCATCATCTGTAATGTTGGAGGAGCATACTCTTCCCAACCCTGTCCCATCTAATCATAGGGTTAGATGCTGGGCATTCCCCCAAAGAAAATGGGCAAATGCCTACTACATTAGGAACATGGACATGCACTCTGATCTGCCTGATTCCCAGACTGGAAGAAAAGATATGGGGTATCCCTGACCACTGCTGTCTACTGCCCATTCCAGGCCCCTGTACACTGCAAACTTATTAGTCTATGTCACTCCTATAGGATGTAGAACAAAATAATAACAGAGGCACCTGGGTGGCTCAGTCAGTTGAGCGTCTGACTTTGGTTCTGGTCATGATCTCGTGGTTCTGTTTCGGATTCTGTACGTCCCTCCTTCTGCCCCTCTCCCGGTCATGCCCTGTCTGTCTGTCTGTCTGTCTCTCTCTCTCTCTCTCTCAAAAATAAATAAACATTAAAAAAATAATAAAAATAAAAATAAAACAATAATAAAATGTTCAACAAAACAACAACATAACATTTTTAAGTTGTTATTATATGTCAGAACCCATGCTAAATTAAGTTCAATACATGTGTTTATCTCATTTAATCCTCACAATATTGTCCTGAATTATAAGTGGACATAAGCCTGGAGCATATCTTCTTTCTCCTGTTAGCCTATGTTCTTAAAGGCCAGGAATGAAGTCTGCTTGTGAACCAGTCCTAACATCACCTCTTTTCTCTCAAGCACTTTGTTTGTAACCTCTCTGGGTTTCAGTTTCCACATCTGCAAAATGGGAATAGTAATAGCACCAACCTCATAACATTAACTTCAGTTACGTATTTTGTATTTGGTAAAGTACTTAGTTCTTGAGACCAGAGTAATGTCCGCAAATGTTCTCTTGATTGTGTTTGCTTCATTGGGTGATGATGTTGTAACCTAGATGTAGGGCTATCTCTGTTCTTACTCTGCAAGCAGTAAAAAGCCAGCATCAGCACCGGGTTGATCTCAACACAGCAATACAAAATATAATAATAATAATAATAATAAAACTCTTTGCCAGGAATTCAAAGCCCTTCACATTTCACCGCCACCTCCCTTTATAGCCTTACCGTCACCACCTCCCCACTACATACTCTATGACTTAGCCAAACCAAACTGTCCACTATTCCCCCAGTATCCTGGGTGGATTCACAGTTCCTTTCTTTGCTTCTATATTTCCTTTCGCCCCCAACACCTGGAAAAATTCTATTCATCCAGCAAGTCTCAACTCAAATGACTTCTCCTCAATGATGCCTTTCCCCATGTGCCTCATGAAACATTAGCTATTCTCCTACAGGATTCCGACAATGCTTATTTTAAGTGACAAGGGGAAATTTTTATTTACCACTCCCCATTTTTACCCCAACCATCTTGAAGGAGAGGTAGATTCCCAGTACAATCCTTTATTTTTCTGAGTAGGGTGATAGATGGGGGATAGAAATTTAACAAATTGAGAGAGGGTTAAACTATATTGCTTAAGGAAAGAGAGGAGCTTGGAGGATAAGATGGGGGTGTAAAATAGTGAATCAGAGGGATAGAGGAGAAAAAGGAGGACAATTGAGGCTCAGAAGACAAAGAGAATAATACCCATCAGTTTTGAATCTGGTTAAAAATCTGCAAAGAGCAGACTTTTATCCTGTAGGTGATGAAGACCTATAGATGAATCTTGATTAGGAAAGCAAGCCAGTCAGATCTGTGTGGGAGACAGTCTGGGGATTATAATAGGATGGCCTGGAGAGAAGGAAAGTGGCAATTAGAATTGTGAGCAACCACAGAGTTTCAGGAACTTGTACCTCAGCCTGGGCTGGGCTGGAGAGTACCTAGAGTGTGTGAAGGCCTGGTGGATGGTGGCATGGGGACAGAGACCTGGAGGTGACATCTCTTCCCAAGTCTAAGCAGGGCTTTGAGTAGATCTGAAGTGAGAAAAGGAGGAAGAGGGAAGAGAAGAGAACCAGAAGCCATGATTGCACTTGTCCTAGTGAGGTTATTTAATGTGCTCAAGGGAGAGTATGGAGAAGGTGGTCAGGATAGCCTCCACTGAGCTGGTGACATTTGAACACAGATTTGAAATAAGTAAGAATGAGTCATTAAGATATCTGGAGGGAGAGTATTTGGGCAGAGGAACAGCCTATACAAAAGCCCTGAGACAAGATGCACCTGGCGTGGTAAAGGAACAGTGAGGACTCCAGCATCTGGCACAGAGAAAGCAAGAGGGATGGTGGTAGGAGCTGAAGTCAGAGAGGTTGGCAGAGAAGGACCACATGGGGACTTGTAGCTTGTGGGGGGCTTTACTCTGCATATAATAGGGACCATTTGAGGAAAGGGACATAATTTTACTTATGTTTTAGAGGATCACCCTGGATGTTATGTGGAAAATGGGTGTGTAAGGGGAAGATAAGGTGAGAGGTGGGCTGGGAGGATGTCAGGATGGAAATAAGACCAGGTAAGAGATTATTACAATACTTGGGACCTTGGTCCAAGCTCAAGGTAATATCAATGGAGGTGATAAAAAGGTGTTGATTCTTAATACATTTTGAAGGTAGAGACAATGGGTTACCTATGGGTAGGAGACAGAGGAATAATAGGGACACCAGTGACTTCAGCCTGAACATTTCTTTCTACTGCTCTGTGTAACACATCTACATATATCTGCAGTCTCAGAGAGTGGATATTGAAGTCAGACTCGTCGACAGAAATATCTGAACTTCTCTGTGACTCAGCTTCTTCTTATGTAAAGTGGGAATTATATCAGTAGTGGCTTCATGGGGTTGTTGAAAGCATTGAATGAATTAATGCATGTAAAATGTTTAGAACTGTCTCTGGCAAAAAATAAAGGCTAGATAAGTGACATAATGATTGTTCCTATTCCTAACTGTATTTTGGTAAGTGAGAAGCTTGGTTTGTCCTGTTCATACTGACTCTGACTTTGGGTATTACCCAGGTGCTCTCTAATGGGGTTTGACCTGAACCGTCACTGGCTGGATCCCTCTCCGTGGGCTCACCCTACCCTACATGGAGTGAAACAGCTCATCATCCAGATGTACAATGACCCAGTGAGTAACCAAACCCATTTGGCACCTGCTGGTTTTATGCCTTAATCTGGGAAAGGGCAGCGTTGTGCTGGGGATATCTACTAGGAGCTACAAATTAGGAGTGCAGGGTCAAACCAGGGTGGGTATTAGGCCTGCTGGTCTCATCTCTAAATGAGTAGCTTCCCCTCCCTTCACAAATACTGGGTTCAGTTGGGTTCAGGAGGTCTCATGGGATAAAGGAAATATATTGAAGCAGATTCACATTTGTCAAGGCTCTTTGGCTATAAGCAAAAGAAATACAACTTGAAATATGCAAAATAGAGAATTTATTACAAGAGTTCCAGAATACTGTAGACTGGGCCTCCTCCCCTGTAGGAGACAGGTGTCAAGTGTCACATCTAGTGACTCCCATCGCTGGAGAGTGATTCGCTCTCATTTTCTAGTTCCAGTTCCAAAAGGACCATGACTGGCCTAGTTGGGAGGACATGCTACCACTGGGCAAGTCAACTGTGGCCCCAGAGGCAAGTGTATGTAAGACAGGACAGCCTCACTGGAACCACATGGTTGGACTTAGGGGCTATGGTGGTGGTGGTGGTGGTGGTAGTGAACTTGTTCCCAGAGAAGAGGGCCTGCTATTCCAGAAAGAAGGAGAACAATGGGTGTCCATATTGAGTTTTCTCATAGGGGTAAGACTTTTAAGAAATAGAAGACATTGGGGTTTCATAGGTTAGAGAAAGGAGGATGACCATAGTCATTCTATCTCTGAAGAGCTATCAGGACAGGACAGACATCTTCTGGGTGGAGGCCAAAGGTAGAGGTAAGGCCTGTAGAGAAATAGAACTTTTTTAGAGCTGCCTGAGCCAGAGTGGGTGTAGGAGCTGTGAACTTTGCCTTACTAAAAGTGTTCACCTTGAAGCTAAATGACACTGTCAAAATGGCGTATAGAGGAGATTCAGTTGGAAGATGCTGTAGTGAGATGGCATCTGAGTCTCTTCCAACTTTGATGACTATGATTTCATGATCCCTTGATTTCCATAGCCCCTAAATTTTTTTCTGATCTGGCTGGTTATAGATATTCAATAACTATTGGTTGAATTGAATTGGATTAACTATGGCAAATCGTGTTATGCCAACTGTAATGTGGTTTATAGATAGAAAACAGTTATTCACTGAGGGGACTATGAGGAATGGCTTAAAAAAAAAAGACATGGGACAGTGATAAGGTAGGAGCCATTGAACAAAATGGTATTTTAGATGAATCCCTGAGGAGAGAGGTGGGGGGCGAGGCATGGAGGAGGAACCAAAGTGAAGGGGGTTAGGTTTGCTAAAGAGAAGAGGCTTCAGCCTGCCATTGCTATCATCAGTTGGAAGTCATTGGTTTGCTCACAAACAACTGGGCACTCGTCCATGCTATAGAGCATAAATCAGGCAAGAATGAGTGACAGAGATATGTAGACACTTTCTGTGCCATGAATAGGTTGCTCATCAGCTTGCTGGAACTTAATAAACACATGGGGAGGCTGAGCTCGTTGCATAAGCTGTGTTGTTCCTGACAGTCCACTCCTTTAAGTCCTAAGCAAGAACAGGGAGCACTAACCTGGGAGTCAAGGATCCCAGCTCCCTCCACCTCTTCTCTTTTCCCCACCCCTCTCTCCCTGCCCAGGCTTTCACGCCAGTCTTGCCTTCCTTATTGCTACAAATATTTATCAAGTAGTTTCTACATACTAGGCATTGAGGCTTTTTCTAGTAGTGAACAAAACCCTAACCCTTGCAATCTGCAGGGAAATAGACATTAAGTAAGTAAATACTGGTAAATACAGATTTACAAATTGTGTGTGGAGTTACGGGGGGAGAAAAAAGCACCGAGAATGTAACCTGTGGGTAGGATGGTTATAAGTTTTGGCTTGCCTGGGGGCAGTTCCCACTTATACCTGTTGTCCTAGAGTATGAACAGTGCCCCCTTTCGCTCTTAGAAGTGTCCCAGTTTGGATGATAAATTATACCGTCTCTCTACTTAAAAGCTATGTAAAAGCACTTAGCAGAGTACCTCGTGTGTAGTAGATCCTCAACAAACATTATTTGGATTGGATTAAAAGTCACATTTGACTTTAAGGGACATTGTGTCCAATTGCAGACACTGCAGTACCCAAAAGCATCTGTCCTAATAGCTTTAAAGGCTTTCTACTCCTGACCTTCACTGTTGCGCACATCATCATAATCACTCAACCCAAAGCTGTGTGAACTGCCAGGACAGCTTCTGGCCTTGTTTCTAAATGCTCACAGCCTCACTCCTTCATCCCAGTGGCCTTCTGCTTGACAGAATCAGCAAGCAGGGGATCAGCAGATCCTCACTGGTGGGCAGGGACTATGTCTGTGAGCCATCGTCGTTCCTCACCAAACCCCTTCAGGTTCTAGCTGGATGCTGGGAATAATCAGAGCTGCTGTCCACCCCTAAGGAGTTCACAGCCTGGTAGAGACAGGTATTTACAGGCAGTTATTCCAGGTGCACTTGTAGAGGGAGGCACAGGGGCTGTGGGAGCCCATGGAAGGAACCCAACCCAGGAGACCACACATGAGCTGATGCGTGAAAGATTCCCAGGGCAGGGGAAGCTTTCCAGGAAAAGGAGACATCTGTGCATCTGCTTTGAGAGGGAGGCACCCTCAGGAGATTTCCAAGTCATTCAGTGCGGCTAGTACTAGGAGCAGACAGAAGGGCAGAGAGGGTTATGATACAGGGTGCAATTTGGACTTTTAAGCAGGGAAATGATAGGATCAGGTTTGCATTTCAGAAAGACCCCTCTGGTGTCTATAAGGGGGCCATTTTGGAGGGTCAGGGGGCCAGGCTAGAGGCTGGAGACCAGTAGAGCTTACTGCTATAGGCTTGGAGAGACATTATGGAGGGAGATGAGGTCAGCTTAGTGCCTGGCTGATTGGATGGGAAGGGGTCTTGCATGATGCCCATCGTTTGGCCTGGACAGTGGAGTGGATGTGGTACCCTTCCTGAGATGAGAACTCAGGAGGGGCAGCAAGCCTGGGCACAAACTTTAGACATGTTGACTTTGAAGTTGAGCAAAAGTAATATGTCCAACCTACACTGTGAGTCTCAGGCACGAGCTCTTCTGTGTCCCCAACTGACAACAGGAGCCTGGTGTCCTGTGTTGATGATGGCATTTACTTCAAAGGCTGCTTTCCTAGCCCTTTGCTCACTAAGCCCTTTCCCCCACTCTATGGGTCTTAGAAACTTAGTGATGATCTTGACCATGGAGTATTTCACCCAGAGGACTGTACTGGATCTCAGACAAAGTGTTTTATGCCCTGGGATATGTCCTGGGACAGCTGTCCTGGGACAGCTCCCTGTGGACAGCCTGGCCTTTGTTTACCAGTTGTGATGAACTGTCCCCTAGGCAGAGTCTGGCTGATTCATCTCAGAGTTGCCAGTGCCCAGCAGGGACCCAGCTCTGAGCAGGCACTCAGTGTAAATGCTGAGCAAATGATGAAGTAAACCAGAGCCTCTGTGAGTTGGTTTTAATATGATTTCCCTGATGAAAAGAAGCAACTGGGCCGTATTACCTCTCCCCAGTCTCACCTCCCACTCAGAGTGTCCCGGATGCTTCCACCACCATCCATGTGTCCTCTTTTCCTGAAGACTCTGGTGTATGGACATAAAGCCTCTCCTAGGTTTCCCTGCAACCTGCTGAGATTGTCCTAAACTCTCAGGGACAAAACCTGAGATGGTATTACCTGCTCTGGTTCCCACGACACAGGCTTCTGGTCACCTTCACTAATATGCTCCATTAGTAGCCTCAGTGCCCACCCCATTCTACCCACCATTGAACTTGGCTTTCTCTGACAACCCAGAGCCCCCTCAGATCCCTGGGTTTCAGTCTTCCCACCGTCCAAACATGTCTTACTCGGGAGCTGCTCTTCGACATTTCATCACCTTCAGTGGTGAAGACCAGGGGAGCCAGTTCCATCTCTGCTCTATATCCAGGTTTCTCCTTTCCATTCTGAAGTTAGGTCTGAGTACTCTACCTCTTCCCCAGGTAATTAGCCCCAGAAATGACATCACCTTTCAGGTGAGAGCTCACCCCTACCCATGGAAATTTGGCTTTATCCTGGCACACGCACCATCAGCCACACAACCAGAGCCACTTGCACACAAGAGCACACACAGGGCCCTCCTCTCTCACCTATGTCCAGCTACAATCTTAAAAAGTTAAGCCCATTTACGAATGAGCTTCCTAGGACCACCCATCTATAAGTCTACTAATACCTAACAATGTGAGAGGCACACCCAGAGAAGTGTTCGGCAAAGATAAACAAAAAAGCAGGTGTTGCTTTAAAATGCTCAGTTACTTGAATGAAATGCACATTTTTCAATGCATGGGCAAGACCCTCTGTAACCTCTGGGGTCATAGAGATTAATGGGGCAGGATCTCAGGTCAGGAAGAACTCATAATCTGATGGGAAGTCCAGACTCTTAGAACAATTTTAATCCAAGGCAGCCAGGAAGGTGTGCTATGGTAGAGAAAATGCAATGGTTTGGAAATATGGGGTTGGGAGAGATTCATCCAATATGTGTGGTGTCTAAAGGATGGTTTTCTCAAGGATTTTGGACTGGGCCTCTAGCAATGGCGGCTGTAGTTTAGGGGTGAGGGAGGTTACAGGGAAAGGGGAGAGGGCATTCCAGGGAAAGCTCTCACAGAAGTGAGAGAGGCCTCAGCTGCTGAGCTGGTATGCAGGATTTATGACAGGCAGCGCAAGAGGGCAGTGTGAAAGGCAGATGGGAAGAAGCTCATGGGTGAGTGAACATGGAGCAAAGGAATTTGGCTTCTTCCTATGGCCCTGTGCTCTCTTCTCATTAAAATCAAAGTCTTAGGCCCTCTTTTGCATTGATTTTTGAGACTATAGATGCTGGAGAGGATGTGGAGAAACGGGAACCCTCTTGCACTGTTGGTAGAGGAATACAAATAGTGCGGCCAGCTCTGGAAAACAGTGTGGAGGTTCCTCAAAAAAATAGA